TTTCAACTTTACATGCAGTGCTGATCACAGTGAGCTGAGTTCTGAAGTCAAAACAGGAGTACATGAGGGGTGTGTCATGTCTGCAATCCTTTTCAACATTACCATTGACTGGTTTACAGAAGACATGCCAAGAGGCATTAAAGGGACACTCTTCTCATCCCTTGAAGATCTGGACTTCGCAGATGATGTCGTTCTCCTATCACATAACCAACACCATCTACAAGAAAAAACAACTCGACTCAACGCATTCAACCAGCAAATTGGACTGAAAATCAACCGCAATAAAACAGATATCGTGACCTTTAGTATTGCCTCACCATCACCAGTATGGATAGAGGATTATGTTCTCACCAATGTAGAAACATTTACATACTGGGCAGCACCATCAGCCAGGATGGTGGAACAAGCCAGGACATCCGGAACAAAATCAATAAAGCCAGGAACACCTTCAGGAGCTTAAATACAATCTGGAAATCCTCAAAATACAGCACCTAAACCAAACTCAAGATTTATCAGAGCTGCGTACTGTCAACACTACTTTATAGTGCAGAATGCTTGGGAATGAGAAAGTATGACACGTCCAAACTGTCTTCATTCCATACACCTGACTCAGAAAAATCCTCCATATCTTTTGACTATCTCAAACCAAGATCTATTGACACAGTGCAGCCAAGAGGATCTGAGCACCATCATTGCCAGGAGGCATTAGAGATGAATGGGTCATGTGCTTCGGATGAAAACTGATTCCATCGCCAGAGTAGCAATAAGATGGACACCTGAAGGCAAGCAAAAACAAGGCCACCCGAAAACAACATGGCAAAGAGCTGTGAAAGCCGAGCTGAAAAACCTGGGGCACAGCTGGGGAACCATTGAAAGACTTGCCAGAAACAGACAGGAGTGGAGGAGCTTCGTCACTGCCCTAAACGTAATAGGAACATGATAATGATGAAATGTCAGAAGATGTCTTACAGTTATCAAGTGCAAAGTATTAAAAAATGTGCAACATTCAGGGCGTGGTATAGCATCTATCCCTTGAAAGGATTGTAAAGAATACATTATTTGGAAGATACAGATAAGTTGAGATGCAGAAATATTAAAACATTTCAGCAGTAGACTCTCTATTACTGCAAGATCTAAAATAAGCAGTACAAATTATGATAAGGAGGTAAATGTTTTTAAGGGCACCCATTCTAAGTTATCCTCCAGTCTTGTGCTGCATTTACTTAATGTAACAAATTCATTGGTCCTTGAAAGGTTTCTTTCCACAAATTATATAGTGGTCCTATCAACCCCCTCAACACCTTCTTGGTTTTAAGTGAAAGACATTAAAATAGTTGACATATGCCAACTGTTACCAGCCTTTTTAGGTCAAACAAGGAGAAATATTTAATGGCAACAGAGTAACATGATGAGGTAGAATCAAAAACAAAGTAAACTAGTAGTGTATTCCCATCTTTACAAATGGACCAAAATTCTAAATCCAGCATATTGAGAGCTTTATTAAATAGACTGTTTGTTTCAACTTGACTCTGATATTGGATCAGTCCAATTGGGTATCACTCACAGATCCGAAGAAATGTTGTTCTCTTCCTGCCCGTTTACTTATCTTTCTGCTCCTCTACATACCATAGAATCAGAGATACATTTTAAATCCTTTGGGGCGCCTCTTTGGCCTGAAATCTTATATATTATACAGCTGCCAAGTGACCACTGTTTTCATTTCTGACCCTTATGATACCATCAACAGTCCATAGTTTCAGAAAAGGAGAGAGAATTATTTTCCATTGGTACTTAGATTATTTTAACAACAACAGTGATATATGAACATAAAAACATTTCAGGTGCATTTGCTACCTCAAATTTTATTTATTTGAACATTTAGTTTGGATGTGTGAGATGACACTTAAAAAAACCACTGCAGGCCTCCCTGTGAATCTGTATCCTCTTGTCTGAAAACCACATCAGCAGCATCATCCAGAGGTTATTTCTGACACTTCTTGTGCTTTGTATTTTTGATAGTGATCTAGACATGGCAGTTTTCTAATGAATACTTTTTGGAAATCTTTTTCTCAGAGAAATAAAGGAGAGAGTTCCCCTGAATACACAATGTTAAAATCTCATTATAAAAATAAATTAAACCACCACTCTCCTTCTCTACACGATAATTTCCCTAATAGTTATGTCAAAGCAGGGGAATATTGCTTCAAGTATGGAATAGATAACAGCAATAGATTAACTCTTAAAGAACAAAATTCCTGGTCAGCTAACTACAACTCCTAAGAGCTTTTAAGCTCTCAAAGCTCCATATTGCCACACAGATTGTCAGGAGTTGTAATTCAGCTCCATCCTAGGAAGACCAGTTGGCTCAGGAAACAACACAAGTTACATTATTCATCCATCAGAGATTTGGTGGAGTGTCTGAAAGGGCCAGAAGAAAACCAGGATTTAGATCCACCAAGAGGAGGAAATTTTATCATTGACTTCAGTGGGTCTAGGATTTCATCTGCGTTTTCTCTTTTTTTTAACGAAGCAGAAGAGCAAAATACCACCATTTTCCTTGAAAGGTCTTATGTAGACCCCCCCCCCCCTGCCCTTACCTCTGGAAAGAAAACTGTATCCATGAAAGACTGTCTTTAAGTTTTTCTTGTAAGTTGAGGAAAACCTACACTTTTTGAAAATTATGTATGTTTGAATGTATATATGTATATAAAGCTATTGATATGCTTGGTGCTTTGCAGACAGACATTCTCAGGATTTTTCCACTAATTTTGCTGGTGGGATATTTTTTTTTGCATACATCTACTAGGTCCCAGTCGTGCAATATCATGATCACCCTCAATTTAATTAACATGAATGTGAATTGAAAATATATAGTACCATGCACGATTGGGTCCTACTAGAGGTGAGCAAACAAATTGTCCTGCAAACAAATGTTGTGAAAAAATGTCCGAGACCATTTTCCTATAAAGCACCATACATAAGTATATAAGGATTGGAGGATAAGTCCCTCCAAGCTTGATTCAATTCCAGTTAAAGTCAGTAGGAGTATTTCCATTGACTACAGTGGGAGTTAGATGGAAGTAACGCTTCCAGAAATGCCTAAGTCCCATTTTCAAAAGTGACTAAGCTCTGAAATGCCTATGTTACTTTTGAAAATGGGACTAAGATTCTAAATCTCATAGGTGCTCTTGAAAATTTTACTGAGCAGATGGTGGCCAAAATATATTAATACCTTAGAATTATTTGCTGCATCTCCACTTGTCCTCCTTTATCCCTATCCAAATTTAACTATAGAATCTAGATGAACATCACTGTAACAATGCTGGTTCTGGCAGGACCCAACTGAGAGTGCCAATTCAGGACAAATTGCTTAAAGCAGGGCAGTTACAGCCTAAGGCTGGGGTTTTTTAACCTCTAAGGCAAACCAAACCAGCCAAACAGAGAGGACTTTGGCTTTACCCCACTGGCTAATTACAAGTCACACATGCAATTCCCTTAGACATTTCAGTTTCCCAGTATCACCACCAATGCCCCTCGTTATGGGGATGAATGGTTATGAAAACCAATACCCCAATAAAAGAAAAAAAAAGGTTCTCTCGATCCCAAAGGACCAAGCCCCAGACCCAGGTTAATATACAAATCAGATCTTACCCACAAATCATGCTGTTGCCAGTCCTTTAGAATCTAAAATCTAAAGGTTTATTCACAGAAGGAAAAAGATATAGATGAAAACTAGAATTGGTTAAATGGAATCAATTACACACAGTAATGGCAAAGTTCTTGGTTCAGGCTTGTAAGCAGTGATAGAATAAACTGCAGGTTCAAATCAAGTCTCTGGAGTACCTCCACAGCTGGGATGGGTCATCAGTCCTTTGTGTAGAGCTTCCGTTTGTAGCAAAGTCCCTCCAGAGGTAAAAAGCAGGATTGAAGACCAGATGGAGATGAGGCATCAGCCTTTTATAGTTGCTTCCAGGTGTAAGAACACCTCTTTGTTCTTACTGTGGAAAATTACAGCAAAATGAAGTTTGGAGTCACATGGGCAAGTCCCTGCATACTTTGCTGAGTCACAAGGTGTATCTGCCTTCTCTCAATGGGTAAGTTGTATAACTGATTGTCCTTAATGGGCCATCAAGCAGGCTAGGCAGAGCTGACACCAACTTGTCTAGGGTGGCACCCAGAAGCATAGCATAAGTTTGATATACAGACAGTATAGAACCGATATTCATAACTTCAACTACAAAAATGATACACACATACAGAGAGCATACTCATAACCAGCAATTCATAACCTTCCCATAGACACCTCACACGACAACTTTGAATAATATTTGCTGCAAATATATAACAGTGGTTGCAACAATGATCTATACGGTTACAGATTATGTAAATAACGTCACAATCACCCAAGCTACTCAACTGCTAATTCCAAAATTCAGTTTCATTTTCCTAATGATCTGTAATTTCCAGAAAGCCTTTTTATAGCATTCTAGAGCAGCGGTTCTCTACCAGGGGTCCAGGAACCCCTGGGGGGCCGCGAGCAGGTTTCAGGGGGTCTGCCAAGCAGAGCCAGCATTAGACTCACTGGGACCCAGGGTAGAAAGCCAAAACCCCACCACATGAGTCTGAATCCCAGGGCCCTGAGCCCTGCCACCTGGGACTGAAGCTGAAGCCTGAGCAACGTAGCTTCGCGGGGGGCCCTGTGGCATGGGGCCCCAAGCAACTGTCCTGCTTACTACCCCCTAACACTGGCCCTGGCTTTTATATGCAGAAAACCAGTTATTGTGGCACAGGTGGGCCGTGGAGTTTTTATAGCATGTTGGGGGGGGCCTCCGAAAGAAAAAGGTTGAGAATCCGTGTTCTAGAGCATACTTCTGTTAGTTAAAATGAATAAATCTGTGTAACTGCACACTGAATCCTTTAAAGTAGAAAATTAGCCTATGTTATGTTTAAACTCTAATATACAACTTAGATTTGTCCATTTGTTGTTTTAATTTTTTTAGTCAATGCACTGGGCTGTCAGAAGTAAAAAAGAGCCAATGCTGGAAGCACCTGAGCTAAATCATAGCAACGACATAACTAATGACACTTGGGCCCAACAGACTGAAAACAATAAAGATGGATTGTCCGATAAGAGAAGGGAGCAAGACGCTGCTGAGACTTCTGATGAGAAACCACAATCAGCAAAGAGTCCAGACTCTCCAAGTAAGTGGAACCAGTGATGTGACAGATTTCAGTGTCCAGGCATTTTACCTGATACTGAAGTTTTTACTCATGGAAAACTCCCATCCAATTAAGTGGGAGTTTTGCTTGAGTATGATGTTCAGGACTGGGCCTTATAGGATAAACTGAATAAGAAATGGGTGACTACATAATTTTTTCAGTAATTCCCATTCCCTTACTTTCCTGTACATTTGCATATGTCTTATTACTTGGTGTGCACCTGTAAGAATATTAGACAGAGAACGTGATTTTCAGAACTGTGAGTACAATTAATGTGATTGCTCATGCAGTTGGCCACTTGTATGCATAGAGCATAACTAAGATGACTTCACATTCAAGTAACTGCATATGTACAATTTTGAAAATCAGGGCCTGAGAGGTGCAAATTGTAATACTAAGGATTCCAATTGCTGCAAGCTCTTAATTTAACCAGCTATCTCAGTTAGGGCCCAGTTTTATACCACTTATGTCCTGGATTTTGATGTAATTTATTACAGAACTGTGTAACAACTTTTTCATCCAAAAGAGGCAAATTTCGGTATTCTTCTGTCTATAAAATATTACAAATCCCAGACCAAGTTCAAGTTATGTCTCTCTCAAGGTGGCCCATTATTTCAGCCTCCACTGCCCACTTGTTAAATTTTCAAACAAGCACCTTTTGTGCTTTCTCTCATGCTGCCCCTCTGGCTTGGAAGGAGCTTCCGGCAAATATCTGCAACGCTGCTTCACAGTCCTCCTTCAAAACCCTCCTTTAAACTCTCTTTTTCTGTCATGGCTACAAAAAAAAAAACTTGACCGCAGTTAGACTGCTGGTGTTCTGAGATCACTGCCTATCATGCTGATCAGTATTGTCTTATTGTTTCCTTGTTATTCCCTGTCTGTATCTATCTGTTGTCTCTTGTCAGATACTTAGATTGTAAACTCTTTGGAGCAAGGACATCTTGTGTGTTTTGTACAGAGCAGTGGGGTCCTGGTCCATGACTAAGGCTCCTCAGTGCTACGTGCAATATAAATTAATAATCTAGTTTTGTGGTATTTTCTGCTCTAAACATTTAGGGGCTAACTATTTCTCATTTACAATAAGGCCCTTTTACACTGCTCTCGCAATGTACATGAGTGTTAAAGTGGGTATAAATGACCTTTACACCTAATACAAGGACCTTTTACACTTCTGAAGAAGTATACAGGGGGGTCTTAGTGTAAAGAAAAAACTCAGTCTGTAAACTTTTAAAAAAAACCTAAAGGCATAAATTGGAGCTAGGCAACTCTGAACTTATTCTGAGTCCCATTAATTCCTCCACTGCAAAAATTAATACATCTTTTAGTTATTAAAATACTGACTGTGCTTGGTTCTGTATAAAAACACAGAAGATGACCTATTCCTTGTCTCAAAGAGTTTGTTTATTTTGTTAGAGGGGCTCTTCCATGCTAGATCAGTACAGACTCTTCTCTTTTTGTTTGATCTTGCAGTGGTTTCATAATTCTGGGTTTAGGCCATCACAGAACAGCAAGTGATTATAATGTAACGAAGTACTGCCTGATCAAATAGGAAGTGAGTGGAGCTGTGAGGGATTAAACCCTTGTTTAAAACCAGACATCTTTGGAATGTAGCAAATATGATAAGAAAATTTTATACACATGAAGTATAACTGGAGTTACATTTTAACATTAGACAAATGATGCTCTTTAAAAGTTTAGCAGACTATAATATTTGCCATTTTAAGGCATATTAAGACTGCATTGCCATTTTGCTGTTGGACTTTAATAAGCTAATATATTACTGTGCAAAGATGTTTTGATTTCCAAATTTTGTTTTTTTTAATTTTTTTGAAATAATTTCAGTTTTGTCTTTTTCTGATGTACTAGGTCAGTGATTCTCAAACTTTTGTACTACTGACCCCTTTCAAATAGCAAGCCTATGAGTGCAACCTCCCCCCTTATAAATTAAAAACACATTTTTATATATTTAACACCATTATAAATGCTGGATGCAAAGCGGGGTTGGGGTGGAGGCTGACAGCTCGCGACCCCCCATGTAATAACCTCGCAACCCCCTGAGGGGTCCCAACCCCCCAGTTTGAGAACCCCTGTATTAGGTAGTCTCTGACAAAAGCTCTGATTAGATGGATTTAAATAAGTTGCACGGCTTTCTTTCATCGAGGAGTATTATGCTATAATAAATTTCTATGAGGCTTTCTTTTCACATCAGTTATGTTTTAGAACTTACTTGGATTGTTAAACATATCTGAAAGACTTCCTCTGTAACATGCTTGTGGAGTGTCGAAGGGCTCATGTTTTTTGTTTTCCATATATATTGATACACACAAGTTATTTTCATATAGCTGAAAACATAAGAATGGCTATACTGGCTCAGACCATTGGTCCATCTAGCACAGTATCCTGTCTTCTTACAGTGGCCAGTGCTAGATGCTTCAGGGGGAATGAACAGAACAGACTCATTGCTCATATTTGCTCAGTTTGTTAGTAGTTTTTGTTCAGATGACACCTTTTGTTCTCTCTCTTCACCCCCCCCCGATAAAGGACTGAAACTTCATGCTAAAAACCTACATTTGACTTATATTTTAGTCACAGTAATCAAGACATACTTTAGCCTAAGTGGGTGAGGTAATATCTTTTATTGGACCAACTTTTGTTGGTGAGAGAGAGTCCAATTAAAAGATATTATCTTACCCACATTTTCTCTCTAATATTCTGGGACTGACACGGCTACAACTACACTATAACTACTTTAGCCTCGTCAGTTATAAATGTTTCTTTTAATAATTAATTTCCTCTCCCCTTTTTTTCTTTTTTCATAGGATTTTTAGATGCAAATTGCTCGCACTTGCGTTTCCGCTGGTCAGGTGATGCCCCCTCAGAGCTTCTGAGGAAGTTCAGAAACTATGAAATATAAAGTATGAACCCAAGATACATAAGAGCATGGAATCATCTGCTCAACAGTGCAGTATTTTTTGTCCATGGTTAAAACTTGTTTGTATCTTGTGCCTCTTCACCATTATTTGAATGTTCAATTATGTGGCGTTGTAATACTGATCTGTTATCACACTTTGTATAAGTATTTTAGGTGGAAGAATTTTTGAGAGGGCGAGGCACTATCTTTATTCAGTATTAGCATAAGTAACAATTATGTGCATAAAGTGGTCCAATGTTTTATATCCGTTTCCTGTGTTCTTCTTTAGTATACAATCAGAAGGCTTTTCTGTCCATATTAAACATGTAGAATGTATTGTGCATATATACTTCTCGCAGGATGAAGAACTCATGGTATTAAAAAATAATCTCCCAAACCTGAATGCCAATGAATTTTAAATATAGCTGTGTGTATTTCTAAATTAGATATTTTGGGCCTGATACTCCATTGCCTTGCACATTGTGCAGTCATTCAGACCTATGCACGGTGGATGTAAAACTAGTGTAAATAATTGGAGTTTTCCGACTTGGTAATGTTTTGCACTGGTGTTAGTGACTAAATGAGATAGTGGAAAATCAGGCCCATTAAGTTTTAACATGAGCAACAATTAACATGAAACACTTTGATTCTTTGGGCAATGTTGCAAATTTTTAGGACTGTATTTATTTATTTTGCATTATTTACTTCCTTGTCATAACCTGACCTATATATAGGATATAATGATAGCACTAAAATGGATGTGTGGATTGAAGGTGTTTTGTCTGTTGGATGACCAGCTAATTTTACAGCAACAAAGTTAAGTTACTGTAGGATATAGACATAAATATTGACTATTCTTTTAATTTCTTGGATCCAGATCATACCCTGGAGTTTTCTGCTACCATCTCTTCAAATGGGGGGAAGTTTGAGGGGGGCCAAATGGAAGAGAAAGTGTGAAGCTTCCCCAAAACTCATGAATCTTTGGGAGCTTCAGGGAAGGGTAACCCCAGATCAACAGAGACAAAGATGTCTCCTATATCTGTGCTTGTACAGGGAAACCAGCTAGCTCAGCCACCCTGTGGTTAGCAGCTGCCAAGGAAATCTTATCTAAATATTATGATTATTGTATCAGATAATTCTTTGGCCAATACTTGCAATACAACTGTGGAGTTATTTTTGTGTTATGCAAAATAAAATACCATTAATGCCATTCACATTGTAGCTCTGTAGTCTTGGCACAAATGAAAAAACTTATATGGAACTGGGAACATGCTGATAGTCCCAAAGCTTGTTAGACATAAATGGCAAGTTAATAGTTAAAAAATGTCATCTGATGAACTGATTAAAGCTGAATGCAAATAATGTCATTAAAAATTCCAGTCTCAGTAAAATTGAAGGGTGAGCACAATTGTTTCCTGTTTGCTTATTTTGTTCTCAGAATATGATGATAGCTACATGTTCAATAATAGTAGAAAGTGGCACTGATGACTAATACGGTTATTGAGAAGCTTTAATTTCCTGAAGGCAAACATTGTTATCTTCCACTTTCATATCCATAAATGAGGAGAAACCAAGATTGCTGGGGATGCAGTGAGTGAAGATGTTATAAAGCTAATGCAATGACATAGCAAATGATAAAATGACTCACAATAAAGGCTTCAGTCTTTCAGTTTCAGATGCTACGATATGCATCAGTTAGTTCTGTGTTGGGTATTATTATTGCTTCTCAGCATTGATACTATCTGCGTCATCAGAGCCACTAAGAGTCTCATCTGCAGCAGGAGTGGCATAAATTTGGCCCATTTCTTCTTCTTCCTTGTTTGTTACCTCTTCTGTGTTGACATGGACCAGACTAGCTGCTCTGTTTTTCCCCTCTCAGTTCATGGGGGGGTGTCTCTGGGCTACTGCAGTGGTGACCAACTGGCTGAGTCCTCCTCCCTCCACTGCTTCCGGACATTCCTGGGCCTTACACCCTGCGTAGCCATTTATCACCACATCAACAACATGTTAATGACTACAGAAGGAGTAAGTCAACAGAGAATCAGGACTGCAATCTGCAAGACTGATGTACTTTGGCATCACTCCACTAATGTAAATGGAGTTATGTTGATTTTCATTCCCAACAAACTAGCGAGTGGTCTGTAGCAGTCCAGGTTTATAGCAGATTTATAGCACTACTGCAATAGGGGTTCAACTGCAAAGTGTTTGAGCAGTGCCAGCCGGAGCAGGAATAGCATTGTTTTCACCAAAAATTACAGTACACAACCAATGGCATCTTATTTCCACAAGTAGATGAATAATGGGTAGATTTAGTTGGGCCATATTGCCTCTTTCTGTGTCAGAGTTGTTAAATAATGAATCAGTAGTTGGAGAAGGCCAGTTTCTTACAGTTGGAGCCTAGAGGGGCTACAGCTCCTTGGATCTAATAATTTCTTCTCTATAGCTTTTTTCTAATAGTATATTTATTTTGGGTAGTACTACCTCTAATTGCTGCCAGGGCTTACCAGACCTCCAGTCCTGCTTGATCTACAATAGGACTATCAATGCTCTTCAAAGAATGGTTTGCTTACTTATTTGCCAAAACTGCTTCATCAGAGAGTTGCTGTAGAACCCTCTGTCCTAGAGCTGGTTGAAGGAACTTTGTGGAGGGAAGTGGGTAGGGTGAGGAAGTTTGGACTCTCTATGCTTATATCTCTTCTATGGACACATTTGGCCAGATTCTCCACTGTCTTGCACTTTGTGTCCTTATTTACACCTCTGCAAAACAGATGTAAAGACTACCAAATGAGAATGGTAACATTTTATACTTAACTGCACAAGTGAAAATAATGACAGCAAAAGCAGCAGAGAATCATCCTAGAGAGGTCTTCAGTTTGCTAAATTGACACATTAGCATTATTAAATTCAATTTAGTGGCCCTCTTTAATTGCTTTTTCCTTTGCATTTGAATAATCAAAAGTAAAATGAGATTCTTCTTATACTATAGACCTGTGGTGGGGAGCATTTAAATTTGTTTGGCCACAAAAGTACCTGGGTACTCACTTCTCTTTCACTTGTCTGTTGAAGGCTTGAAAGGAAAAAAAAAAATCAGTTACAGGGAGAAAATCTTCACTGAGTACCAATATTTGCTGGAATAAACAGGAGAATGTATTAAGACTTCAGCAGTTTTTGTGATGCACTCTGGCTTTCAACATCATCTTCTGTCCGAGTGAGCTATTTTCCCCCTCACATCCTCCATAAGCGCCACCAGTGGAAGTGACATGTCAGTGATAATATTTATTTTAAAACTCTTATCAACTTGATGCTTTCTTTTCAGGTTTATTAAAGCAATGAAACATACCTTTCTGAAATACAGACTGTAAGGTGGTCAGTAGAAAATTGCTTTTATATATATATATACACACACACACACAGTGGAAAATGAGGATTTATAGCACAGTTTGTCCATAATAAAAAATACAAAAATTGTTTTATTAATTTTGTATGATTATAGTACTACACAAATTACAGTTTTCTCATATGTTCCAGCTGAAATTTTGTGGTTACATAACTCAAAATGACTGAAGTTAGAAACTCTAGCCTTGACTTAATTTATAGTTCTGACAGAGGAAGCAAAATCAATCCACATATTTGTTTTAAAAATGTTCATTGAAATATTTTCTATTGGGTTTCTTGCAATACTCACTGTGATTTAGATCTCAGTCCTAGAAAGATTTATGTATCTGCTTAAATTCTTGTAGCATCAGGGCCTTAGGCCAGGTCTACACCTAAGAATTAGATCTACCTAGCTACATGGCTCAGGGCTATGAAAAATGTTGTGTCCACCATGATGTAATTATGTTGACTTGACCCTCACTGTAGGTGCGGCTAGGTTGATGGAAGAACTCTTCTGTCGACATAGCTACCACCTCTTCGAGAGGTGGGTAACTTACCTCAATGGAAAAACCTCTTCCCTCTCTAGGAACTGTCTATGCTATAGTGGCACACTTGCAGCATTGTAGCTGTCTGCTGTAGCCACTGTAGTGTAGATATAGCCTTAGAATGTTAGGTTGACACAAATAGAAATTGCACAAATAACACCTCAGTAAAGGACATCCAGATGAAGGCCTTATTTAAGGGTCCTGAGTTAAAAGAATGCCTTGGCTGAGGTAAATCTTCCAAATTAAGCTTTGCTTGGCTAAGGCCTCCAGATTTAAAAAGGCATTAATTAAGACTTCCTGGTTTAAGTATATCTTATTTAATAGTTTCTGCCTTACCACCACTTAAGCAGTTCAGGATCTGTCACTTATGTGTATGTTACTAATATAAAGTAATTTAGAAGCATTAAAACAGTCCTAAAGAGATTTAGCAGCCCTGAGAGGCTCCTGAAGAGTTTTATCAGCAGTGAGGCACCTTAAAGTGCGTTAGCAGCTAATCGTCTGATTTCTTTCTTTCTCTGTCACGCACACACGTCATTATTTTAAGGGTGAGATAAATGCACACAAAAAAATCAATAAACTGATATGTTAGGATTTCTAAAAGAACAATGAGTCATGTTGCTCTTACATTTTATTCTTGTTTTCTTTCTTAATGTACATCTTAATAATGAATAGTTTGTTAAAATCATTTTGTAAGAGACATAGACTGTGCAATAGAACTTTAAAAACTCTAACTTTTCAATTTGCTAAATTTAGTATGCTTGAGTTCTCAGTGCTGCACTGTTAGTTGTTAAAGTATACCATGCATTTAAAAACAAAAATCAAAGCTACTGTTACTTGTACTTCACTCTATAGTGAAAGAGACACTATAGTCAGGACTTGTTTACAGTACAAAATTGGTCAACTTAATTTAGGTTGACCTACAGCCACTGCAGTAATTCAATCAGTTGTTGGTGTCCCCACAACCCTGATGTCGGTGGTGTGTCTTCACCAGGAACACTTGTACCAACTTAAATGGGGCATTGTGGGGAACTGACAGCCACATAAGGCTAACAGCGGGAGCCCTCACCCATCCTGGGTGATAGCCCAAGCTGAGTCCAGGGCAGGCTCAATTTCACAGCATCTAGCCTACCAGCCATGAAATTGACTTTCTTGTCAGTGTCATGGCTCTAGCTGTGAGCCCCCTGCTGCTCTGAGACAGAGGCAGCCCTGAAACTGATAAGAATGACAGCCAACAGCCAATGTAAGTAATGCAGTATCTACATGAACACTGCATCACTTTAATGTAGGGTGACCAGATATCCTGATTTTATAGGGACTGTCTTATTCTTATATAGGCTCCTATCACACCCCACCCTGTGTCCCGATTTTTCACACCTGCTGTCTGGTCACCCTCCTTTAATTACACCAACATAAGCGCTACACTTCTTGTAGAGGTGGAGTTATGTCAGTGTAGCAGGCCACTTAGGTGGAAGCAGCATTGTAGTGTGGGTACGTCTTCACTACCCGCCGTATTGGTGGGTAGCAATTGATTTATCCGGGATCGATATATCGCATCTCGTTAAGACACGATATATCGATCCCCGAACGCACTCACCGTCGACTCCGGAACTCCACCAGAGCGAGTGGCGGTAGCGCAGTCGACATGGGAGCCGCGGCCATCGATCCTGCGCCGTGTGGACCCCAGGTAATTCGATCCAAGATACTTCGACTAAGTTGCATATCTTGGATCGATCTCCCCCCCCCCCCAGTGTAGACCAGCCCTGATATAATTAGTGTAGACCAAGCCTCTGTGTGGGCTGCAGAATTCAAATAAAGGATGTTTTGAACCGTTTGTCTGTCTCGGAGTCTCAAATGTATTTCTTCCTTTGATGACTTTAAACAACCTGAAAAATCTCATTGTTTGTTACACAAATATCAACAGGTTAGTAAGCTCATAGCAGGGTGTGTGCTACAGAGCATGGAGACACTGGTACTGTTGGAACTCCCCCTGTCATCTTTTGTTCCCTCCAAGATGAAATTTTGGCCAAACTCAAGGGCGTTTGCAAAGCATTTGGATTTCAGCATAACTGCATTTTGAAAAACTTGGAAAATGCAGTATCCCCACCGGTTTTCTGTCCAGCTCTAGTGCTCTAACACCCCCATCTAACATATCCAAGCATAGGTGCAAACTTTCCCCAGCGCCAGTGCGTGCTGGCACCTCCCCGCCCCCGCCCCTGCCCCGACTCCATCCTTTCCCTGCCCCCCCATTTCAACCCTTTCCCCAAAGTCTCCAATCCAACTCCGCCCCTCCCTGCCTCTATCGGACCCCTTTCCCAAATCCCCGCCCCAGCCCCGCCTCTTCCCTGAGTGCGCTGCTTTCTCTCTCCTCCCCCATCCCTCCCAGCCCGCGTGAAACAGCTGTTTCGCGGCGCAAGCACTAGGAGCTAGGGGGGAAAAGCGGGCACGTGGCGCATTCAGGGAGGAGGCGGAGGTGGAAGGCGGAGGCGGA